GGCCCAGCGGGAAGGTGCAGCCACTGGAGGTCTATGCAGAGGTCACTGTTGAGAAGAGAAGCCAAAGCTCCCACTCAGTGTGGTGGGTAATAGAGAATCAATGCAGTCATTTTGCAAGAAGGGACCTCAAGCAGAGGCGGGAGGGCCTTCCCCTTAACTCTGAGCCAGGCCACCTGCAGCCTCTGCTGCATTGAGTTCAGGTCAGGGGTGTGCATGTGGATGCGGGCTCACAAAAAGCTTGTGGAAAATGCAAATTACAAAAAAAAAAAAAAAAAAAAAATGAAACAGCTATGCATGGATTTCAAAATGTTTTCTGCCAAAATAAACACACTGTAATTCCGTTTTCCCATGAACTTTTTGAAGTCCCCTTGTACATGATGGGTGTGTGTGAGTGTGAGAGTGTGTGTTTGAGTGTGTGTGTGAGAGAGTGTGTGAGTGTGTATATGAGTGTGTGTGTGTGTGAGTGTATGTGTGAAGAGAGGGAAGGTGTCTTCATGAGCTTCCGGGCCCTGCTGGAAGACTGTTGATGACACGTCCCTTAGCATACCCAGCAGAGGTGGTGTGGGGAACTCTGTTCTCTGGCTTGTTCTTAAAGTTACCCAGAGTTCCCTGGTGACCACTCTTGGAGGTCTACAACCAGATCCATACTGTGTAGACACTCGGGCTGAAGGACCAGAGGACAAACCTAGATCCAAGGAGGAGAAAGGGCAGCCCTGTCTTGTTGCCCCTCTGATAGGGCACCTTATCTGTCTGTCCCTGCGTCTCCTGGGCAGACAGTCTCTAAGACACTGAGGGCTCCTGTCTCCCGTAGGCGCATGAACCCACTGATGGCTTCTGTAGAGGTGAACTTCCCAAGAGAACTTTGTTTTGTTTTGTTATTTCATGAGAGGCAGAGAGAGAGTGACAGACAGAGGCCCCTCCAGTAGCGTCTTCACGTGCGATCTTGCACCCGGCATTCCCAGCAGCTAGGACTGTGGGCACGAGTCATGCACCTGGCACATACAAGTGGACCTGGGAACCGTGTCCTTGTCTTCCATGTGGCCTCCAGTCTTACAGAGCAGCCACCAATACTACAATACTGCACCCCCGCATTGGGCCCCGAGAAACACTGGAAGTGAGGCTCACTTCCTTCAGCTATACCTGGGAGCACTGTGTGGGGCCAGGTCTAGGGCTTAGCATCTGTGCTGAGGGACCCCTGGGCAGAGCAGCGAGCTGAGGCTATGGCCGACCGTCATCATGGCCATCCTGAGGGGCTACAGGGCAGCAGTCAGGACATGCTGGCAGGGGAGGGCATGTGAGCCCTCGGGCCCTCTCAGTTTGAGGAGCAAATGGTCCTGCTCCTCACACAGTCCAGGTTAGCACTGACAGTCCGTGGGGCGATCAAATAACCTGACCGACCCAGCTAGCCCGACACTCATTTAACTCTCCGTGACTGTTACCACTCTGCGGGGCCTTAGACAAGGGGCTCGTGAAACAAAAGTGACTGCAGGGCCCGAGACAGTGTTGGGGCTGGCAGGCTGACCCAGCTCCATGTGGGGAGTCCCAGGGCGTCAGCCATGACAGACACAGGGCAACCACCCAGGACCTAGACCATTTGCTCGGGGTCAAATGCAGAGACTTCAGCCTCCTACCGTCTACTGAGGGCAAGAGAGGCTCGGCCCTGGAGGACTGGGGCATCTCCGGCTCTGCCAGAAGGGCACACCAGCCGCTGCCATGTCTGAACTCTGTTAGGGACCTGGGGCTGTACTCAGGTGCCTGTGTCTGCATCTGACCCTGATAACAAACTTCACCTCCAGTTCCTGTTTCCCCCACAGAGAGGCCGGGGAGAGGTTAAGTGACGTGCCGAGGGTTTGGATTTACACTCAGGGCTTCTTGGCTCTAAGGCCTGTGCTCTAACCAGTCGGCTGCCCTGACCACAAGCTGTCCTTTCCATGCCCCCACCGGCCACCCCTTGGGCTAGGGATCTGGGGGCTCTCCCTCTTGCTCAACCTGGTGGGCTCTTGGAAGTATGGACTCTGGAAGGAGCTTGTTTCTCTCCTAGTGGCTGTTGAAATGATCCAGGGATGGGTTTTTGATTTGGGGGAGAAGAGGTGAGAGGGAGGGCTTCGAAGGGTGCAGGCGGGGGTCAGCGCTGGGTGGCTGCAGTAGAGGGGAGGGCAGGGAGGTGACATGGGCACCGTGCTCTCATGCTCAGCAGCCAGCCTGGCCGTCCTTCCTGTCCAGGGGCTCCAGACCCAGAATGTTTCTTCTCGGTGTAATGGCCGCCACCGCCTGGCCTCTTCTCTCCCTCAGGCTCTGAGGGCCATCTCGGGCTTACAGATCGCTTTAGCATCCCAAATTAACCTAGCATGAGCCACAGATAGCAGACCCTGCACCGGGACAGTGGGGCCTGGCTGCTGTGGCTCAGTGGAGACCCTCGTATCCTGCGGTGCTGGAAACCAGATGGTGACCACAGTTCAGATCCTGAGTCGGACTGAAAAACACACTGGGTGTGTGCGTGCGCATGGGCGCCCAGGATCCTGAGGAGCTGTGGAAAGGATCGTGGTGTGGCGAGACCCTGCGGAGGATGGTTTCTCTCTAACCTTCCTCTCTTTCTCTCTCTCTCGTGCATACACATGTGCCTTCCATCATAAAAAGAAAAGAAAAAGGGAATTTCAGGTAAGAGGCCCTGTGTCTTGATGGAGAGACAGCTTGGCCCCAACCGAGCCTGCTCTGGTTCACACGGGACCTGATGTGTGTGACTGGGGAGGCCCGGGTCTTAAAGTACATCTGCAGGGGCTTCTGTTACTGGTCTGCTGTAGGCGAGACGGACAGGAGGAGGCCTCCGGGGTGTGCTGTAGTTGCCCAAGAGTGACGAAGGAAGCTTGGAGCGTTTCCTAGGTGTTCCTTTCCCCTCATCCCTGGGGTAGAATTGAGCCCCTTTGTAGATAAGAAGCCCAGGCCCAGTGCACACGCCCTGCAGCCTGGCGCATGCTCGCAAGAAGAGGGGAGCAGTCAGTCCACGGCAGCTCAGATGCCAGTGAGTCCCAGTTTTCAGCCCTTTGGGGGTTGCTGGTCAGAACACCCTGTCCTCTGCAGTGTGTTGACCCTGATTTAAAA